ATAACTTTTATTTGAAGTATTTTTCGAAATTTTGAGGAAAAAAAAAGAAAAAATCTTGGGATATGTTATACTGAATCACAAGGATACAGTGGCTCTTTAATAAACACGTATAAAGTCCACTTTGCTTTCCGCGTTTTTATTAAGCGACACATTCGTTGATCAGAAGGTACGACAAGTTGTCGTTTTTACAATTCGCTAAGTTTTCTAGACAATATCTGCTTGTAGCGAAGAACATTCGCAAATTCGTATATGCGGGCAATCAATTATATGCATACTCCCGTACACCATCTTTCTCTCATTGCACGGTCTTTCTACCTCATCAATAATCGACATATCGAGAATGTCCTCGGTCAGAACATGCTGGTACTGGAAACTATTTAAAATTTATCGCCTTCGAAACAGCCTCTTACTGCTGAATCGTTGCATTAGTCTGAAGAGGAGAGATGGGCGACATTTCAACGAGTCTTTAAATGAAAATGGAATCGACGTTTTCGTCACCGAACAAAGGGAACACGATCGAGGTCTGTCCCTCCCTTCGTTGCGTTGCATCGAAGAAACAATTTATTTCTCCAGCTGCCACTATTAGTTCCACTCGGTGGCTTCTAGTTTTTCGCGAGGCAAACCTTCCGAAGGGTGTGGATGGCTCGTGCGAATCATCAACCAAGCTCGTCAGTGCTGCTTAAGGTCGTCAAAGTGGAACGTATGAAAGACTGTGATAGTAACGAATCGGAGACTTGATACGGGAAGGTAATATATTTACATGATTAATAAAAGTTGCTCAATTATAGATACAAATTGTGACCTGATAATTAATGCAATAAGGGTTTGAGATAAAAGAGGAACACGATTAGCGATCATTGGAATCATTATTTATTGCTAATATAAATACCATTCTCTTACAAATCCAATCGACGAAATGGCGGTCTATAAACTCGCATAAAAAATACATATCGCCTAACCGAATATGGCGACGGAACAATCCTACGGCATTCGATAAATTGTAATATGTCCGAAAAGAAATAGAGCGAGAGGGTTAAAACGAAACAGGAGAAAGAAAAATCAATGAAGAACGTATTTACGTATACAAAGTCTTCTTTTTCAAAGAATTCTTTGAACCAACCGGTTGGACGACTCATTGAAAGGGGACAGAAGAGGAATAAAAAAAGAAGGAAAGATATATGAACTTTTACTACCGTTTCTTTATCCATTGCTCGTTTTTTTATGAGTTATAAATTTCGCGCTATGTTTCAAATTCATACAAATGTTTCTGTGCACATGAGTTAATCAATTACTCAATACAATTTCAAAGCTGTCCACGGTTTTTGCCTAACTTTTTAAGGAGCTACCATGGCAAGATTTTTGATCGTGATTTGATCGACTTTCGTCCACTTGCGTTCGTCAATGATTATTTTATACAATTTCATTTTTCTACTCTCTTCAATCTTTTTGGCTAATGTTTGTTTGCCTCGCGGTTCAAATTCGCTTGTCTCTAATCCAGCTAGCTTGAACTTGTTCTATATTTAAGTACCTAATTAACGAGCGGCGCGATTAATTTGTACAATTTGTCTAAACGATAATGACGCACGCGTTTTATGATTTCAAAAGCTAACTTCATGTCTTGTGTTTGTTCTTCCTTAAGAGAATGTAATTAATTCTTATCAATTTATTAAATATCGACAAGTTAGCTTAATTTTTATACATACTTTACATGTACGACTCGAGATAACAATCGTCAGTCGTTCTACGCGTGCTTGGTAAAAATATCCTTCTAACATTCGCTCGTGAAGTGAAGTATCGTGCCTTGAAATCGCGCAAAGCTTAGAAATCACTTCCAGATTGACCATTGTGCCAGCTAACGGATATTGAATGTGACTAAACGCGAGCTAAACCTCATTCACAAGTAGCGAACATCGATGAACGAACATAGAGTACCTTTAAGGACCTTCATTGCACTATTTCAAACTATAACTTGTTCAGGTCTGTTACTGTTAATCAAGACAAGATATGTTCGAAGAAAAAGCAACAAAGCAATGATTGCTATCTCGTTTGCTCGTTTTGTATCATTGGTCTTTTCCAAATAATCGAGCAAAACGTTCGACGCTCTCTTGAAATTACGACAGAATGTACAATTGTAAACGAATCGATTAATTGGTAAATTAGCTAAAAAGAAATCTCGCTTCAACAAACTTTGTTCAGGAATCTCCCTGGAGTATCACTCGAAGGAACTCTCCCTCTGAAAGCTAGGACGATCCCCGCGGTTGTTGCTGCTTCTGTTGTTGCTGCGTATAAAACCCGAAGGGTCTCGACTCTCCTGTCGAGGGAGGACACGAGGGGGTCGCCGCGGTATTCACAGAGGGAGAGGAGGCGGCGGCGATCGACGGACCGGATGATCCCGAGGCTCGCTGCACCACATTTTTCTGTTGATTCACAGTGGCGATCGTTTGCTGCGACCTCAATGGAACCGGAAGTGGTCGTTGGACTTTTCTGCCATGATGGTGACCAGGCGTACGATACCCTTGATGACCAGGACCCGTCGGCCTTAACCGAGGACGACCCGGACCCCTTCGAATTGCTGGCGTTCCTCCTCTGCCCGGCAGGGGACCCAGTGTTCCAACCGGACCCATCGGACCTACCGAACTGGGACCGTCGCCTTCCGCTGGTCCGCCAGAAATTCCTTGAACTCCTGTAACGTTAGCGATCCTCCGATCTTTTACCTTATCCATTAACTGACTTCTGTATCCATTAATTAGAAGTCAAGAAATCGATACATTGGGAATTTTACGCATTTGTATAAAAATTCAATCTGGAATAAGGAATACATGCAACGTGCCGGCTATCAAAAATATAATACAAGGAATTTTAATCGAGATTTTATTTTTTAAATTGGCATCGCAAACGTTTCGTTGTGCATAAAAGTGCGCAGTCTGATCATAACTTATGCATTGAACTTGTTACTGCGAAGAGAATACTTGAAGAGTTATTTGTGATTGTCAAAAGGGAATCGCGCGTACGAGACGATAGGCGTCGAGATAACGAATTTCGCGAGGCTTCTGCAACTTTTCATGATTATAATGGCAGATGCAGGCTACGACGAGGGGTCCCTTCTATTTTACGTGAAGTGGTCTGACCAGTTAATCGGTTATTCACCGGTACTGAGCCGCGGCGTGGAACGAAGACAAACTCCCCGTTGGATCGTGCCATGGCATCTATTCAGCTGATCGTAAGCGTAGGAGCCGGAGCCACGAGGACGAGCAACGAGAGAGGGAACGGGGGACAGGAGGTAGGAGAATTTAATGAGATAGCGAGGGAGAAAAATCCTGGAGGAGGAGGAGGATGAGTGACAGGGTCGGAGGTCAGTAGCCGAGCAAGGATGTACGAGAGGACCTTTCCTTTCTTCTTTTACAGCGACAGAGCAGTTCGATGTTACGGACATTTGCCAAACTTTCTGATTTCATTCTTTTATATCTATACAACTCTGTATTCTTGGATCTTTTCAATTTCATTTTGCGTACAGTATCGATAAACGTAGTGCAAAATGTATACCAAATAATACGTGCCATTTTGATTTATTACTTATGGGATACATACGTAAAGTATGTACATGGCGTTGTCAAATTTAATATATACTGATATTTTTTCATTCCCTCCTTCCACTTCCTTTTCTTCCACTGCACAAGTCGTCGACATTCCTTGGCACGTTCTCGGTCCTTTCAGGAGGTACTTGTCAGCCACCTCGCCGAAGAAGAGGGAGGAAGTTAAAGTGGCCACTCGACGACAAAGGAAGAAACAGGGTTGGGAAAGTTCAAGGGGAACCCGTTTTCTCGTTATCACGTACGCGCGATTTCCCCGAGTTTTTCGTACGCGCGGTTCCACCAAGATTTTCGAGGAGATTCTTGTACGCGCGAAGGAGTTCCTTCGTTTGACAAAGGGTGTCCTGAATCGAAACGCTGACACGAGAGAGATTCGCAGACTGCCGAGCAATTTGCAAATGTTGAGACTGTGGATCTGGAGAAGTGTTCAAAATTCACCCTATTGCTTGCTTTATTAAAACATAAAGAAACGTTTAAACTCCGGAAGGAGCAGTGTCAACGAAACCTGATTGAATTAATATCCGGCTCGAAGGGAAACGAAAAAGGGGGGCAGGCAATGAGCGGCGAGGGGGACGGCTAAAGTATTTTCGCGTATCGAAGGTCCGCGTGGGTGAGATCCCAGCCGGGAGATAGAGAAGCAAGCGCGTATAAAGAAAGAAGAGGATTCTCGAGAAGTTTCGAGGTAGCTGGAAGGGGCGAATGGAACGCGAGGATCCGCAGAATGCCGACCGTCCGGCTGGCAATATCCTTGCCCGTCCTATCTTCCCGCATTATCCTGCCGTATCTCAGCCCGTACAACACACAGCCGAACTCCTACCCCATACCCGACCTCCCGGTTTTCGTCCTTTGCCACGGCGCGCGGCCTCTTTCACGGTGTTCTCTCTCGCCTCCGGCCAGAAAATTATTGCATTTTAAAGCGGAGACAATGAAATAGCTCCTCGCCGGTATCCCCGATTAAACGACCCTCGTTCCTCGCTCCCAACCAGGATAATGAATCGCACGATTCTCGTTATCGTAAAGGTTCATTTATACTATCGACGAACCGTGAACGACTCGACCGGAATGAAAGTAGTATCGAAGCACGCATTAATTATGTTTTATCATTATTTCTATTTATTTGCTAGTTTGCTGTTAATAATGTGGACGCCAAACGAGGCGTGAACGAGCTCTACGATAGTATAAATGAACCTAACTACGGATAGATTGACCTTTTTGGTTCCCTATAAGAGTTGTACACGAAGTTCTGGATGATAAATACTGACGATCGGATTGATTGATAGTGATTAGTAGTAAAAATATCTACGGATTCGAAAAAAAGTTCGGAGCAAATTACAAGCAATGGAAATAGATTTGTCCTAAGTTTACAGTGTCACGAAGGAAGCAGGAAGTTTATAAATGTATAGAGGTTGTCTCTCATCCACTTGAACTGGTTGAAGTTACTTTCCGTTACATGACACGGAAATACGATGGAGCCAATGCGGACGAACGAAATGACACGGTGCGGTACCATGAGGTACGGCACGAATCCAGCGAAATTCAACCCCTCCGAGCCCCGTTTCATCCCGGCGCCAGGGCCACGGTTACCGAAATTATGCAAATGATATCCAAACGCGTTACAGTTCGAACGGTGCACTACGATTTGAACAGCGATATTCAATTTCGTTGTACAAGTGGTACGAGAAATCTTTGTTGGGGAGGAATTGATATCATAGGGATAGCATTTTAGAAATGCAGATTGGGAGAACATCTCGGAGACGGGAGATGGCAATCATATTGTTGGCTTTCACGAACGCATCGACCATATGTCCCCTAAAATACATTTCAAACAGAATACTTCTCCACTTTCCAATTTTCAATAAAACGAGAACTAACAAAAATGGAATATGCACTGTTACTTTTACAAAGTACAGCAAGTACCTACATATATTTCATTCTATAAATCGACATTAAAAACGTTTTATTTTGCATATAAATCCGCAGTCTGATGATTAAAACTATTTAATTTATCAAAGATCATCGAAATCCATAGGATGATCAGCGAATCGAATAGTGGAGAAAAACAAACGAGAGAATGAAAAGGGGGCAGGAAACTAACGAAGTGATAGTCGAAAATGGAAAGGGAAGAAAGGAGAGGGGTTGAGCGAGTTCCAAAAACCTAAGAAGAGCATCATCGATCGCAGCTGTCGCGTTCGCTCCGCACCTGCTATTGTCCGCTCGCCTTCCAGTCGACGACAAGTGCGAGAGAGAAACGACCCCTTTCCTTTCCGTATATGTAACAAGCACGAAATACAAGCGCGTACGTACGGTAGGCGAGCGAGCTCGCGCGCGTTGCCCGCGTAAACTTCAGTCCACGTGTCATGAACGTTGCGTGAGGGCCTCCTACTCTTTTTCGGTGAGAACCTCTTCCAATTCTCGTTTTCTTACCCGCTCATCTCTTTTACCCTTTGCTTGAAAGTCGTTTATATACCTATGCATCATACGCAACAGAACGCGTTGCGCGACGATAGCACCGTGAACTTATTGTTCTCCACAACTGGGGTGATGCTCCACGAATTATACAATTCCCTCGGAATGAAAGATAATACTTATGACAATCACTGAAGTCATATCTAGTACTTGTTAATTTTATTTTATCTCCTGTTAATATAAATGGCATTTCAAAGAACAATAAGCATAAGGGAACCATAATATATCAAAGGAACGAAGATACTCGTACGGTGGTCCCAAAAGATGTGAGGCAGGGTACTTGAAAATCGCAAGTGAAACAGTGAGTCACAAATGGGGGTAGGGGGTGAATATCTCGAAGGGTAAACCGCGTACCCTCTCAGGAAGTGCGCCAACTGTTCGTCGCAACACTTGCGCGCACACGTAACCGCGAGGGAATTTCGATGGATCCACGTCAGCGGCCCATTGGGCGTTTTTCTTTTTGCGCGGAGAGATCCCCTGAGAACGTGCCAAACGGTGCAATAGGAGCAAATAGGGACTCGGTTCTGGATCTATGAAAGAGTCCAGCCGGGATTAACCGCATGTCAATTCCGAGGGTGCGTCACGAAAAGTCATTTTCATCTGACCCCAGCAAAGCTTCCCTCTTAATCCTCTTAACCATATCGAATCATCCGTTTTTCAACGATCTAAGCTAGGCTTTCGAGTGAGAATTTTCTACTCAAAGACAGATGGGAATCTAAACGAACTGAATACTCTTTCGAGATACGGTAGCAGTATATATTGAATATTAATTTAACTCTGCATTTGCATGCAAAGCAAGAGTTTAAATATTCATCGGTGAACATCGTTATTAATAATCCATTCGTTGGACTAGATTCGATCACTCGTAACGATAGGATCCATTTCTCCGGACATCCTTGACACACTTTCGATGCTAATAAATGTACAAAGACAATGTACTTACCGTGCTGTAGAACTTGGTCATTGGATGCACCGCTACTGTTCGGAGATAAAGACGTTGGCGATTGAGGATCGTTTCCAACACCTTTGGATGGCGGGTGAAGCATAAGAAGACCCCTACCCTTCCCTCCGATGGGTCCTCCTCTGCGAGAACCACGCGGCCTGCCCCTTTTGCTAGTACCGCGAATCGTAGGTCTCATTCGAACGCTACTTCCGCTGCTAAAAGATACATGATGATCCAAACGATTCACTTTTCCGGAATCACCGAATGGCCCCATTCGTGATTGCCGGGTATCGCCCGAAGATGTTCCGATCGGACCATCGACGTCAACGACCAAGCCATCGTTGCTCGTTTCATCCTAAACAGATAACATTCATTTCCTGATTTCCTGTCGTTTATGTGAATTTTTAAGCTATACTTATACACGTACCTCTGACTTGACAGGACTCGTTGGCACACTGTAATCATCCGTATTATCGATTATCTGTTGATGATTGTTAACTTGATGAGATTGAATGCCGCCAGTGGCTTGGCCGATTTCATTAGAGTTCGAGTGAGCACCGTCGCCAATCTTGTCACTGATCGCATCAGCTAGACAAGGCTTCTTTGCGTCACCCTAACAATTACACAAAGATAAAAATTAATTTCGTATGTCAGGAATAAAACTTATCATTGATTAATAACGGAGCAGCATGAAAGAAAAAACAGATAGCGGCGACTCGAAGGGCGCCGGACTCACCTTAGCCGGAAGCGCGGTTAACTTCCTCTTCCGGTCTCTCTCCTTGTGGTATAGGTTCGACTCAAGTCGGGCATCCTCCGCGTGCTGTTTTCTCTCCTCGCTCCGTTGGCTGTCTGAAATATACGGACGCGGGCTTGTATACGGGGACGTTCGTTACTTCTTTTCTTATTATTATTCGTTATTAGGGCATTAGCATAGCCTAACGAGCATAATGTAATTGCGTCCATATTCTTTCCTTCCCTTTCATCTCTCTTTCTCCCTTCCTCTTTTTTTCTTCTCGCTCAATGCATTTGCACGAGTCCCGGCACAAGAATACAACCGAAATCACGCTTCAGTGAACAAAAATGCGGTACAGAGTTCTCTATTTGCATTTCGAACTTTCATTCAACGAGATTATCGAATTACTTTGTTTTATAATCCTGTGTTACACATTTTGTTAATTCCATTTGAACAAACAGATTTGTATACGTTGCGACTCGAGTATTGATTAATTAATTAGCGGTTCGAATTTTAATAACGTTTAAACACTTACATTTCGCTTCGATTTCTTCGTCGTCTAACAAAAGGGAAACGACTTCCTTCGGCTTCAGAGTATCTGGTTTGAAATTTCCGCCGCTAATCACCATACGTTGTATCTGTAAACGGATAATAAATTATTTCTTCCACGTTCAAAAACTAAATAATTAGAAGTACATTTTTAAATTAATATAATCTACCTCGCTTTTCTCTCGAGCACGTTGCAGTATTCTTTCCTCGATAGTTCCTTTGCAAATTAATCGATAGACCGTAACTTGCTTCGTCTGACCGAGTCTATGAGCACGATCCATAGCTTGTTGATCCACCGTAGGGTTCCAATCACTATCATAAAAAATTACCTGTAAAGCAGAATATTTTTCTTTATTAGAATTAAACTACCAAGTAAGAAAGCCTATTGCTTCGCAATATTATGTTTAAATTTGAAAAGAATGCATCGTATTTGTGCATCAAGTTCTAAATAGGACCACCCGTTCCACTTGATATTCGAACGAGGGCATATGCAAATAGCTTTAAATACATTCACACTGCAGTCTGCATTCGTGCACTATTTGTACGTAACAAATCACAATTTCGGCAATGCAGACGAACGACCGTGACCAAAAAATCTTATCGATTCCACCATTACTTCGTGGTATAATTTTTTATATAATTGTGGGCCACTGGGTATCTTTTATTACTTCGCTGATAAATCTACAACATTGTTCTACGTATACTTTTATATGCAAAGCGATAGAGATCGGGCACGCTGTTAAATCGATGACAAACAAAGTTGACATCGAGATTAAACGGCTGCGCTTAAAAAAGACGCAATCGCGACTTCTCACGCTATGCTCTGTCGTTTCCGATCAATTATGATGATTTCCTGACTTGTCGAGCTCGGCTTGTCAAAAGAAAAGAAAACAAAAGGCGAAACCCCCTCAGGCATCGTGAAATCGTAAGACGAATACGTACAAGGTACGGGCTGATAAAACACAGGATAAGATTACTAACCGTGTCTGCGGCAGTGAGGTTTATTCCCAGGCCACCGGCTCGGGTACTTAGGAGAAAGACGAATATGTCCGCCCTGAAACATGAAGCAGCCTCGTGTAGATCAAACAGTACGCACGACGCGTTTTTATATGTAAATTAATTCGGTATGCTGGTGGTGCACTTAGACGATTTCCAATACGAAATGCGCTACTCGAATTAATTTCATTGTCTACATGAGTTTGGAAATCCGTTTACATTTTTTATTTAGCTCAATAAATGTAAAAAAGAAACGATGACTTGGATCGCTAAAACCAATCTGCTTTTTTTTAACTTTTTTTAAAATCTGATAAATAATGTATTTCAAACGAAATACGTTAGAATATAATGGCATGGGGTAAAAACGACGATCTCATGATTATTAGAATCATGTATTCATGGCGGGTAGCCAAAGCCGCAGCTGTCTACGAGAAAGGGTCGATTCGCCAATTAATTCGCGTGTTAGTTATGCGCGAGTGGACGAACGAACGACATGCTAAGAAGCCGCGCTTTAAACATGCAACACGATGTGTGGCTGATACATATTCTAAACAGTGACGGTAAAGAATTCATTCGTTTGTTAATGATCTATTCTCATTAAATTAGAGGACGACGCTGGTTTAGATTAAGAGATATCAAAATTATGAACCAGTAATTGGACGCGAAATATTTACGCGGCTCCTACCGTGAATCAGATCTGAAATTCTGCATTACAAATTAGTCACCTCTTTTGAAAATCCGCTACCATATCTCGTCGATCTGAGATTTTCGAAGAACCGTCTAGTCTCATGAATGTGTGCTTCCTGTGATACATATATTCCTGTAAATGGAGATATTATGTAAAATCTTGTAGTAATTATATCATCGACGATTCAAATTAATTACCTCTAACAGATCAATCATTTTTGTCATCTGAGAGTAGATAAGCACTCGATGACCTTGTTCTTTCAGACGGCGCAGGAGACTGTCCAATACGGAAAGCTTTCCGGCATCCGTTACTAATGTTTGCTTGTCTACAACGAAAGAGAATATTCTTTAAAATAAATATGACACCATTTAATTGGCACCGTGGTAGATACTTACCTGGCACTATGATATTTGACCATCCGTTTATAGGAGTGCATGCAGATATTCCACCTTGAGGCTCGACCGAGAACGTAACCGTAGTCTGTCCTATACGAGTCTTGAAGTTGTCTTGCGACAACGAAAGAGCTCGTTCGCAACCAAGCCAAACAAGTTGCTGGCCGAACTTTCCGCCACACTCTTCGTGTATTCTCCACGCGCACGCCGCGGAACTATTACTAACGTATAATTTTCGAGGACTAGCTTGTACCTGCAAGTTATTCATTATATTATCATATTTTTATCTACCGCATTAATCTGATAGCAACCTTAGGGTAACTATCGCAGATAAATGATGGAATGGTGGTCTGTTGACAATATCGCATTATCGGTGGCCTTGGATGATGAGGATGTTCCGGTAACAGCGTCACCTTCGATTCTTCTTGATCAGCTTTGGTAGAAGGGAGCACCCTCTTTAACGATTGACTGGCAGCCTTTTTACTACTACGCAAGATTCGATGTGCGACAGTCTCGGGCATTGAATGCATGATGTGAGTCGTATGCGTATATACAGGTTCTCCTTCAATGATGTTTCTCGTGAATATTAAGTCCTGCAGTGATCGCGACGAAGAGTCGATCTTTTCGGGTAAAAGAAACATTTGATTCACAGATATTTCTTTCCTCTCGTCAACATTCCAGTCCTCCCAATATCGCTTCATTCTCATTCTTCTCCCCATTACTGTCGCAAGACACAGTCTAAACATATAATAACCATTTTGGTGAATAATAAAATATTATAATATAATATAAAATATAATAATTTCGTACCTGAATAAAATACCGACGATAAATATGTTACTGATTTCCATAGGAGACAAGTTAATAAATCTACTAAAGGAAAAGATATTTTGAGACAAACTGGCGTTGTCATCGTGAAGGGTTCGATGTATATGTTCAGTAGCAAATATAAACAGCTTATTATACAACAAATGATCTTTAGATGGCAACGCAAGATGCATGAGTCCATCTATATATAATAGTGCAGGCATTTCGTAACATTCAGTATGCATGAAGAACGGAGATTTAGCATCCCTACGCTCGAAAAGCTCTGGATGATTGCAAACCTAAAATCAATAATATCGAGATTGATGTAGTAAGGCATGCATGATGTATTTTACATTTAATATTCATTACCTTCCGGAATTGCATGACTAGATTCATCAGGTTCGATGTAAAATTTTTATCGTTAGTTGCCGTGTCACCACCACCCACCGTATAATGCAGTAAGTCTTCTATTCTAATCTTCTGCTTTAATGCTATTAAGGAAGTTATGTTATCATTTTTTGAACGTAATATAAATAAATTGATTACGTAAGAATACTAGATTCATACCTGAATAAAGTAACTTTTGACGTGTAGTGAGAGGACAATACACCATCACTTCTATCTTATCGGACAATTCATTTTCTACATCTTTCTTTATTCTACGCAACATAAAGGGTTTCAAAATCATGTGCAACCTCGATAAATGTTCTAGAAGTAAAAGAGAAATATAAGAAATTTACAATACTGATTTAAAAAAAAGATTAATAAAGTAACTGAAGTAGAAGTATATTACTTTCATCGATTCCGGTTTTATTCTCAGCGTGACTCTCGATATCCTTAGAAAACCATTCATTGAATTCATCGTGAGAGTCGAATAAAGTTGGCATTATAAAATGCAATAAGGCCCATAATTCTGCCATGCTGTTTTGAATTGGAGTACCGCTAAGTAACAGTCTGTTACGACAGCTAAATCCAAGCAACAATTTCCATCTCATACTGTAAAAGGAAAGCAAATTATTTAGTTTCGAATGCCATATAGTGTAACAAACAGTCTAATAAGCACGAACCTGCTGGTGCTTTTTATAGCTTGTGCTTCGTCTAAGATCATGTATTGCCATTTTATTCTATTGAAGTACTTATAATCGGTAATAACTAATTGATAGCTGGTTATCACTACGTGAAATGAAGCTTCTTTCGTGTGCAAATCTTTAGTGTCCCAGAATTGTCTCAATATTTTACGTTCTTGTGGATTGCCCCAGTAGGGAACTACTTTAAACATTGGTACAAAGCGTGCCATTTCTTGCTGCCAATTGTGCAACGTCGAAGCCGGTGATATAATTAAAAAAGGTCCCCATACAGCTGAAAAATACAATGACACAAATGAGTTAAATTGTAGTACACGATTTTGAAAGATCGCAGTATAATAACATTAATTGAAAAACTCACAATATCTTTCAGCGATGTGACACAAAAAGGCTATAGATTGCACAGTTTTCCCCAAGCCCATTTCATCCGCCAGAATTCCACTAATACCCTAAACAGGATATAGAAAATTAGTTCATATAAATATATCGTGTACGAAAATTCTATTAGCTTATGCAATATAACAACTTGGTGGATGTACCAACCTGGTCATATAAATTGGCTAACCAATTCATTCCTTTTAACTGATATCCCTTAAGATTTCCTTTAAAGATCGAAGGTTGAGGGTGTTCCAAATTCTCCGGTGTATCACTAAGCCGTAACTCTTGAGACGCAGCAGCTGTGTCGAATTGTTTCGTTCGAGCTTTCTCATTATCGAATGCTTCGGTTGCATTTTTCTTGGCTTTTTGTTTCATAGATTCACTGTTGAAAGAATAACTTATAAATATATTAATTTCTAACATATCACATTATCTCAAATTTACCTATCGTAATCATCAATTCCAACAAGTCGTGGATTTTTTTCTTCATCTAACTGATTCAAAATTCTCAATTGTTCTTCAGGAGAAGCTTTCCCTAATTTCCTGGACATAAAGTGAGCATAAAGTTCAGTTTGTGTAATGAGAAAATTCAATTTCCTTTGCTGTCTTTTCGCCTAAATTTATGAAACAAAGTAAATAAATTTCAAAATCAAATTTTATATTAGGAACACGACAAATTACGAAGTTAATTACCTCAATAAGCTCCACATCCATTTTCCGCTGCTCTTCAGCTTCTTTTTCCAATCTTCTTCTTGTTTCACGTTCGACTCGATCGTAACGTTTCCAATAAGACTGCATTTCTCTCGTGAGGCGTTTAGCTCTCCATATCGTTTCCTTCATGTTCTTCTGCGACTATAAAATAAATAGAACAACTGATTCAAGCAATCTTTAAACAAATCCAAGTAACGATAGATATAATAATACTTACTTGCATAGCCTTTTGTCTCCAATATTTCATACAATGTTGTGCTACTTTTTTACAACTAATTAACATTTCTTTATGATTATTGGTTTTTGCTCTTTGTACTTTTCCCAATTCTTTTTTGGACATCATGACCCAAATCTTTCGTCTCCTCATTGCCATCACCTCAGGACTCTTGTTGTTATGCTTTTTTCTTGTCCGTTGACGAGGTTGATGACGCATTAATGCTTCTAACTCGGCTTCATCTAATTCTTCTTCTCTAGGAATCGAACGATTCCATTCCTCGTCCGGATAGTCTCCTTCCTGCAATATTTATGATAACACTTTATTCATGAAATATGCACTCATTTTTATTTTACGTACAGGATAATCCTCCAATGGCCTATGACGCGGTACCTTTTCCTTCTTTATCTTCATAACTTTCTTTTCTGGTTTCTTTTCCTTTTTCTTTTTATTTCCTACTATCAATTTCTGATGTTCTAAAAATCTATCGTAATTGGACAATAAACCAGCGCTATAATATTGGTACTGAATGTTCTGAAAATATGCATTTTCATTACTATAGGTAATATATTCTGTCAGTCTTGAATCAAATACTAATGTACCTCTGGTTTTTGATAGAATTTTGCCTGATATTTCTTCCTAAGTATGTGAAACTTTAGCATTTCCTGAAAATCTTCCTCTGTAATAGGACCATCTGTATCAGATCCTGAAGCTGAACTATCCGATGATTCACTTAATAGAATATCCTGCAACCAACGTCGTTCCTCCCCCACAGTTGACATGTTGTAAAGTCTTAGCTTATTAATTCTGTCCTCTATGAAATCAACAGTGAGCAACAATTAACAATGTAAAGTACGCAAAATGTTAAAACTATTTACAGACCTTCTTTTCTTATCACTACATTATCAAGATAATTGTCTGATCCCTCAGATGATTCTGATGATACAGACTTGTCATCCTCGCTATAAACAATTTATGAATAGTAGTTTTCATCTATAATCACAGGATTATAGAATTAGTACTTCATTAAAACTACCTGGCTGGATCTTGAAACAGTTCGTTAATTTGCCTCAAAAAAGGCTGTACATTCAGACTACGCTCCAATCTTTGCAAATGCAAAGGAGCAGCCATTTCTGCTTCCAACCTCATTGTAGATATCCTATCTGTCATTACCAGTTTATATGCAATTCAACAACCTAGAATAAGAAGTTCGTTATCAATTATAGATATTTGAAGCCTATATTAACATAGAAAATTGATCTCTGTCATGTCTTCTGAGATGTAGTGTATGTAACAAGTTCTAATACAAAAGAACAATTCTTACAGGGTACAAGCTTTATTCAATAAGCAAGTCATCTAAAATAGCAATAATAAGTAGGCTTGCTGTCAAGAATACAAATACTTTATCAGTAATAGTACAAACCTAATATGACTCTGTGATCATTTGACATTTCAGTAAATATATTGAATAATGATTCTTGTGTAGCATGTTACATGACTGGTGACAAAATTTTTTATGTACTTCATACATAAACATATAACGAAATAAAACGTCTATCTTGCTGTTTGCGTAATTAGTAAAGCATACAAGGATTTTGCTTCTTCTACTGCATTGCCACTATGATTTTAAGATTGTTTATTTCGTGTTTCCTGTAACGAGCAATGCATGTTAAAGGCTAGTAACCGCCCGATGGAATCGTGTGTAATCAATTACATTACATAAGGTGAATGACACGACTGAATCGAGCTTGGTGCGGTTATAATTTCGCAAAATTATTCGATAGTTTTGGATCACCTTCAGTTTGGTTAGAAGTAGCCCCACTTATTTAGCACGTAAGATAGGGTCGATCGTCAGGAAATTATTCCCTTTGTTCACATTGAAATTGGGTGTATCGGTTGGAGGGAAATACATAGCAGAAAGAAGCCTAGAGAACGCAGACATTTGGCGTGCCATAAAACCAGGGCAGGGATAGGGCATATTGTTGGCCACCATTTTTGTTTTCAATAGGTGGCGCAAGCGTAGCCGATGCAGAGTTCCGCGGCTTTACCAACATTTATTGTTCATAAACAAATTTTTTTATTCCAATATATATTATCCACCCAATCTTTTAATTATGCCTCTTGTTCACGACAATTGCTAAATAATTAATACTTTAAACACCAACGACACTAAATGAAGTGTAAGAGGCAGCCAAACGTTTAAAAATTATTAACAATTTTAGAAATGTTAAGATTACATGTATAAACAATTACTATAATGAATAATTATAAGCTTTATCGTTTTAAAGATAGTAAATGCGCAACTTAAATACTATTCGCACATTAAGCTATTTCGCTAGAGAGGGGATGATGCATATTATAAAAAATGCGTTAATAAATGTTGTTTAGCCTAATATATTAAGATTAAATGTGTCACATTATTAATATAGAAATAATTATATTTTATTATGTAAAACAATTAGAATCTCTTTTAAAATTATAGGAAATTCATCACGTGAAGCGTCTGGCAACGAGAGTCGGATATCTGCCGGCTGTGTCTTCCGTCCTGTAAACCCCGTTTCGTGTCCGTTATTGCAGCGAGCCATCTTACCTCAGACGCCGATCATTACTTCTTCTAGTAATTTCAATAGTATCGTGTCGTGTAAGCATAAGGTTTCAGTGGACAAAGCAACGTTATTTTACATATATTCAGGTAAGTTTGTAAACACGTTTCTTTTTCCTACGATATTACGTATGCATTTAGTAAGTAAGTGAATTGTTTGCAAATACACCATTTTATGCGGATATGAAGCCGCATTCTTCGTTAAGTATTTAGAAATGTCGCGTCGCTACGATTTACCGCTGATTCATCGTGACCAAAATGCTCAAATCGTGCATTTCTCGTTATAACAGAATAGAAACTATTATTCCACACCTTTTTGTAATTATTTGTTTGTGACGTGGCAGTAACTTTTACAAGATACTGCATCGTAGGGATACTTGCCCACGAGATTTTTTTTGTCCATTTACGACAAGATTTCTTCTATATATTCTCGTTGCTACGCATTTCTATAAACTAACGTTACAAATAATTCGTAATTCAAGGGGGATGTATCAGGAATGTTTGTCGTATCAGTTTCGGAAAGATTTTCGTAACGTTGGAATTGTTTCGTAATATAGATAATTATTTTGTGTATCCCTGCAAAAAGCAATGATACGTTTCAAGGAAACGAAGTTATCGCGTCATTTCCTTTGTGTAGTCTTTGTGTCGTCTTTGTGTCCGTCCAGTAAATTGCGTAGCATACAAAGAGCAATCGTTGAACCGCCATTTTATGAAACAACACGACATGGATTTGTCGAAGTTCTCGAGCATATTGCGCTTTATTTAGACTAAAGTACTATCTCTAAATAATAAATCAATATGACCTTCCGTGAATGAAGTAAGAATATTGATAAAAGAAAGTTACTTATAATTTTCAATCTTCGAGAAAGCTAACGGTATGTAAAGAAACGAAGGTCGACGATACATAACGGTACACGGTCTCAGACTTCGATTAGAATTTTTCAGTAACTACTAAAGCACAAATAGGAAGTAGATACTAGGATTAGATTGTAGTTAATTTGAAAGCCGATGTTTAAATAATAATAAACATACGGTATACTGAAAATTAAGTTTCATTTATATTGCAAGTTAGTTTGTCGTTTATTTTGTTTTAAATTTACGGTATTAGTCAGATTCGGAACGTTCAGGAATCCTGTGTTATGTCATAAATATTATTCAAATTATCATGTAGATAAAATTATTATGTAGATAATGATTCCGAACGTGGCTAATGCTCGTGTTCAATTAGTAAGTTGTGTAAATACTTCTTGGCTGAGTAAGCATGGAGATAAACACCTTAGTATACAAATAGTGATTCATATTCCAACAGCGTGCGAATTATTGAGTCGCTCTTAATTCGAATACACATAGACAGAGAATTTCTGTTACCCACAAGTGCATGAGATGTGCTTAACATAGCCATAAAATTGTATTAAACTAAATAGTTCACTTTCTTTTGACAAAGAAATAAATATGATCAACTTAACAATCTGTAAGTTATTTTCAACTGTTTTACATCGTTATAGTGCTCTTGAAAAAATTAATGTCATAATAAATATATTAACGCTTATCAAGATTATTTGTTTCTTAATACATAATTAATATGCCACTTCAAAAATAATATATAGCATGTAACTTTGTATAAATTGATACACAATTTACATTAACATGACTATTGATAGCTTGATATCTTGTAAGCTTGATTAATACATAATTTTAGTTTTTGCAATAAAATATGATTCGTCTGATATGAATGAGAGTATGTCCAAGTATGTCAGCTGTACGAGATAGGTTTGGAAACAACCTCACAGTCTTATATTTCACAATAGCACCTCAATATTGCACTTGTGATTTGTTGCAATTTAGTTGTTCGCAAATAGTATTTGATCTGCTAAGCTTATTTGATTTGTTCCTTACATGAATTCTTCTAATTGCTCTCTAGTGATGAAATTATAAATTCATCGATATCAATTTTATTCCTTATTGTTATACATGGTTTGCATTGCCATTCTCAGCCAGAATATTGGAAATTAACATAACAGTACTTATGTTGTCATGTGACTAAATGGCAGGTTCTTAAAGTAGCCTGTTATGTATGGTGTTTTTATATTTTCCTTTAAGAATGAGCACCCGAGTATTCGTTGGTGGATTAACATACCGGGTGAGAGAGCGCGACCTTGAGAAGTTCTTCCGGAAATATGGTAGAATCAAGGAGGTCGCTATGAAGAATGGATTTGCCTTTGTGGTAAGTCTAATGTGGTTCAATTGTTTTTTTTACAGTATGGTAGGGACAAGGGTCTATGTCGGTGGGCTTCCATACGGCACCAGGGAAAGAGACCTTGAGAGATTTTTCAGAGGCTACGGTCGTTTCCGTGATGTCCTCATCAAGAATGGTTACGGCTTTGTTGTAAGTACTTCAATCAAATCTCATACCACAACACCTGACACTTTACTCTAGTTCGAGAATGAGCATTCGGTGCATAACGCTGGCTACGTGCAGTTTACGTCTTGGATGACACGCACACGTTTATCGCTAGATTGCGGATTTTATGCATTTATAGAAAAACTGTATCTGCAGTAGAGATAAAAAACACTTTCTATGTACATGAACATTAAAAGGTGAGTGCATACTGGAATGCTTAAATGATAAAAGAAATTGCTGTCTAAAATTCATTTTATAAATTGATACAAACAATTATGCATAAAAATCCGCGGTCTACTTATCATATTCGGCATGTGAACATTAAGATTGTCACGCCACTCAGTGGATGAACAATATGCGTGTGTGCGGGTCTTCTCATAATTCGAGTACGTAGTCGCTCACAAATCGCACGTTGCTCATTCTTGCTCTATCCAGTTTGGTCTTGAATTTTTGTAATCTTCGTGATTGCGTTCATGCAAATGTTAACTTAAAGAATCGTCGATTGCTTTGTTAATTCGACGCTGATCAAAGTGTATAGAGAGTAAAGTGTTGTCACTTCGAAAATAAATTGAACTCGTGAGTTGATCTGACCTACCTTGAGCCCTGAACACATTGATACTGTGGCTGCTTAATGGAACTGTGTGCTGGTTTTCATCAATTAATCTACAAATGTTTGTAAGTTATGTATGATCAAAGGGAAATCATCTTACTTATAATTGGATATTTAATTATTCATTACTTATAATTTCGAATAAAAATTATAGGCCAAATTAAAAAATTTTTAGATTTCTGTACTAAAAATTGTTTCAATTTTCAGTAAAATTCATAAGCATCTATATTAATTATTGTATAATCTGTGAATTGTTAAGAAGTAACAAATAACGTGAATGATACAACGTAATGGTGCATGTACAGTATGAAAACGTATTGATTCTATTAATATGATTCACAATAGATGTATTTTGTTTACAGGAATTTGATGACTACAGAGATGCAGATGATGCGGTCTATGAGCTCAATGGGAAGGAGCTCCTGGGAGAAAGGTAATACTTCGCTTATTGTTCTACACCTACACAATTTGTACATAATAAACATAATATATTAGAAGTATAGAGAATGGTGTAGGTAGCATGTTTTGCATGATAAGTTCCACTTTTCATTGCCATTATTTAATTCTTTTTTTTATTCATATTTTGATATTGTTAAATACACTTCTAAAAATAGTGTGATTATCAGAAGTGATAAAACAGATACTTTTATTATCTCGCATTATAATTGTGTTTTAAACAGGGTGCTATACTAGCATTTTATCAAAAAATTAAATAAGTTATTTTTTTAATTACTTTTGCTGTTTTAGAATGAAACTTCGTTAATGTTGCACAAAATCAGTAAGGATTGTATATGAGAAGCAATAGCATTAATAGAGTTTTTTTCTTTTATCCTTTTATATACTACTGAGTAAAGTACTTTCGTTCTAGATTCCCCAGTTATTTGTATTTGAAATTAAAGGCATTTTAGAATATTAATTGTTCAACAAAAATTTTGTAATTGATGTGAGAAAAATCGTATAACAAATATCTTCACTTCTACATATTATAAAGGAAAAATCATTATTCTTTTTTGAAACAAGTCATTCGTAAACTAGTATGAGATTGTAAATACTACTTGCACTTTAAAGTTTTGTTTTTATTAATGAACATATTTACATATATTTTTAATGTTTCTTTTTAGAGTCCTTTATTAATATTAATCTGCTGTTGCTTCTGTATAAACGTAAACACAAATATATCATATATTTTTTCTTTCGTCATCGCCTTTTTAAGTTTAACCAGACGGCGTCTGTCCTCCAAATTATTGATTGGGTTTGATCTGGAATAAAAGTGCATCTTACTTAAATAGCCGATATGACTTGCCGCCATTTTGAACTACTTCCATCAATTCCCCGATATATACATATGTGTGTAATATAAAGTGAAACTATACTTTGTAAATGAATGTCTCAACATTTTCAGTAATGTATATTGCTTCTTTGACAAAAAATACCGTTTTATATAAGCAACAAAGAAAAATAAGAGAAAATACAAATACATATTTTTGTAAGCATAATTGTTGAACGCGTTTTCATAATTCTCTGGTGATCGTTTACGAATCTTTTGCTCGATTATTAAAAGTAATAGCAAAATGAAAAGAAAGAATGAATACAGAAATTCTGATCCCAGTTAATTATGAGAAAGCTCCGAGAATTGTTTCTACAATTACATATAACTTAGATCGACAAAATATAAGTATAAGTTACGAGTTATGGGTGAACAGCAATTGAAAAGTTAGCTGAGGGGATGAAAAAAGAAAGAGAGAAACAAAATACGTTGATGATGATGATAATCGTGATGATGATGCTGATGATGATGATGATAATGATGATGATGAGGGGACAGCGCCTCAATGGCTGGACTTTGTAGATAAAGAACGAGGCGGGATGATATTTGAACGGATTTCGAAGGAGGAGGCTGAGGAATGGAAAGAAAATGGATAAGAAGGATGGAAGGAAGGAAGCAGCCTTTAGAGTAAGAATTAGTCGAGGACTTAGGCGGGGTTTTGTTGGGTGTGTTTCAGAGTGGCGGTGGAGATAGCACGGGGTGTTTCAGGGAGGCGAGGCGACCGTGGCTACGGACGCTCACGCTCCTGGAGAGACAAGTAAGCATATCCAATGTGTCTTGTTACAGAATTACTGTAGAGAGGGCCCGGGGGACACCTAGGGGTAGTGACCAGTGGCGCTATGGTGACTCCCGTGGTGGTTATGGGGACTCGAGGCGATCTGCGTAAGACACGCTATCCTTTTTTTTATTTTATCAGAGCGATCATTATCCCCTCCTCCCCTGCAGGCAGACAACTCGAGATATGCAAAATCTTGGCAAATACATTTTGCTTATTTGTTTTTAACGAAATTAATAATTTCCTTGGATATTTTCACGTATTAAGAATTAGTCATTCCTATGTCTGTTTCGAATAAATAATTAATTGAAAAATGGATAGTATGAGTAAAGAATGATTTTGCATATCGCCCGTACAGGGAAGAACGTAACCTTGGATATGATAAGCTCTAGAATAGAAAAAGAGAGTGAAAGGGTATGTATGTCGGAGAGAAAGTGTATGAAAGGGAATGAATGAATGCGAAAAAGCTTGCCAATTTGCATACGATGAAAGTTCGTCTAGGCACACAGGCGAAATCTAATTAGTTTTCGAATTGGTTGTCTTGGATTTGACTGCTCTTTCGAGTACGTCGAATTATAACTGGAAGTAACGAAGAATCATCTCTCGTTAGCTGAAAAAATTTCTAACGTAATCCAAAAAAAAGAGATAAAAGACAATGCCTAGTGAATACCCTCCCAGACGTTATTGTTTATTACTTGTAGTTGAGAGAGGTGGATCGATGTAATTGGCGACTAATAGATGTGTGGTATTGTGTTTGTTACAGCCGAGACGATATGCGGCACGACAGGTACGCTATTGCTGCATTTTGAGTAGATTTGATTCGATTGGAACAGGTGATTGATTGTGTGCCTGAGCAATGAGTGCAGAATCTGTAGTTATTTGCTAAAAGGATTAATCCAACGATCCGTTATTTCTGTTCACATGAAATCCCTTTTTGCAGAGATAGTGTGAACAGAAACACGAGGACCGCATCTAGCTACAAGCAATCATTGCCCAGGTACATACATCCAATGTTACGCTCTAACGATACATATTAAATAATTTATTCAGTTTCTAAATAATTGCAATATAATCAAGTATTTAAAATTAAATCAGTTTTAGTTTCCAATGATTAGAGTTTCGCTATTAATTACGTATAAATTAAAGTCAGGTCCAAGACAAACCTGCTTCTATTGGAATAATAACAAATTTAATAATATTGGTATTTTTCATTTTGTAGATATGGACCACCAACACGTACTGAGTATCGTCTTACCGTGGAGAATTTATCGAGTCGTGTCAGCTGGCAGGTAAGCAACATCTGTACCTTTGGCTTCACGCTTAAATATATCAACACAATTTGATAGCTTTTCTCGTGAGTTTGATTGCTACTCGAGGTTTCCCACAACTATGTCGAATATTTCTCTATATTTTCTCGCTCTGGCGTTTCGTTCAATCCGCAGTTTCGTGCTATTCCCCGAGTCGAACCAAACTTACAAAGCGCGGCATTTTTAGCATTTAATGTTTTTTATTACGTTTTTCTTTCGTCACTTTTATGTTCGTTTATCCGTATATCCGAAAAAAACTCTAGTCCGAGTTTACAAAAAAAATATAAAGATGTACATTTTGATCAAGTAAGTCTGTGGCATACATTGTATTCGAAATCAAATTTTGTATCCCGATAACTTTCGCTCGACGATGAGCTGAGAAAATACGAATAAAAGAAGTGAAAAAACAATGAATGAAAGGTGCAGAGAAACAAGGGGACGAGAAAGGAAAACGTGAACCCTGAAATCAAAGAACGAGGGGCATGAATATGTGAATATCATATGATTCTGGAACAAGAGCAACAGAGATACACCGAGGAAATCTTAATATGTCGTTTCACGTAGACTCTTTGGAAGAAGAGGTGTCAAGGACTAGAAGACATCGAGAAGCAACGAGCAATGGAGACGAAGAAGAAGACACGAGATAGAATAACCGAGAAGGACAATTTTGGGAAGGAATGGGAAATGCAAACGATGTGGGAAATACCAGGGCGCACTTCGTCTTTCAAAACACTTGATCCGAATAAGAAGATGTATATACGTATACATCTGTGTTAACACGAGTTTTCAATGTCCATGCCAACGAATTAGAGAAAGAAACGTACAAAAATAGAGCTCACGTTTGGGGGCACACGTGGACCAAGTCTTACTTGATCAATATACATTGCATACATATATACAAAATATATATCGTATAATCGTACTTTTCGGATGATTGGTTGACTTTTGATGAATACAAAAAAAAAACATATTCTCTCGCTCAATCGAATTCTCTCGATTCTTCGACGTTCTCCTTTTTCAATTTATTATTTCATTTACGTTCGGCCAACAGTTGAGAAAAACAATAAAAATTGATGTTCTTTCCGAAGAGCCATGTCCTCTTCGCCGTGGAGGGGTGAGACCGGTAGGGCCAATATGACTGATGATGTGCGATGATAAAGATGACGATGCACGCGATGTGGGCCCGCCTTGAGGTCAAGTGGCACCAGGTTGGTTTCTGAGGTGTCCCGGGTGAGAGAGATAGCCGCGTGGCACTGGGTACACCTACCACCTACCACCTTCTACTACTTGCGCAGTGATACGTGGTGAAAAAACCCAGTGGCGAGATAGGTTCTTACCGTATCTGCGATCCTTCATCAAAATCGCTGGGAGAGAAAATACGTCGTCTGCCTTCTACTCTGCGATCATCAATGACTCTCTGACCTGTATCTTTACCTGTGGATGTGTTTACCAATCAATCAGCCAACAACAATCACGCTACTTTACTCATACTTTCCGTTCTACTACTACCTATCACCTCTCTCTTCTTCACATCCCTTATCAAACATCATATTACTCTTTGAATCCTTCCGTATTATACGCATTCTCTTGCATCCAATCACCATCTATATTATTGACCTTTTCACGATTGCCCTTCATAATTGACCGTTCCCCTATCATGTAACTACTGTTACTGCTATCACATTTGTTACTACACCACGACTGTTACTGCTACTGGTACGCCACCAACCTAGCCATCTAGTAAGTCAGGCAGCGGCCACCCATGAGGGCATACACGGGCCGAAACCCGAACCATCCGCGACTACGCCACACAGATCCGATTCGACCCGACCAAGCGCCGTTGTGTCTGGCCTTTCTCTCTGTCCGTAAGCAAGGTGGTGCCTGGGCCCAAGGTAAATGCGTCACCTTAACCGAGTGTACTCTTTAGATATATACATTATTATATATCTCTATATATATACACTTACACACTTTTGTAACTTGTCCTCTTATTGGTATCTTAATTAAGATATATCTATCATTGTGTATCTATTAACTGTGCACCAATAGTTCAGGTGTTTTCTATACCATTATAGATCCTATCGAAAACGATCGACGGGCTTGTAGCCACGCACGCGCAAATAGAAAACCAACTACCACAGACAGCAGATAAAAGATTAATCATTTATTTATTTATGTATATGTATTATTATTACTATTATTATTATTATATATATATAAAGTGTGCTCGAAATTAGGCATCCGTTCTTTTTACAACAGTATATCGCAATAATAGTTTTCCACGTTTTGTGTATATATTTTGTTTGACAAATCGTTTTTTGGATACCCCGGCGTATTCACGTCTTTTTTTCTCAATATGAACGCTATTTATGTTCCGTTCTCATTTCAAATGAGAAGTGAAAATCAACTTTTCTTTATGCAAGGCAATTTCTCTCATCGTCGTGTTATTGCAACAATCTTCTTGTTTTCTTTGGGGTGTGCATAGAAGACACGCGTACCAAGGAACATTCTCAATTATCGAGCATCGTTGCAGATTATCCAAAGAATACAGATACAGTGTTATCGACCCGATTTCAATTACCGAGCCCTACGAGAGCACAATAGCGTTTAGGATCTCCGAAACGCATAGAACACAGGTTTTTTGAAAAAAGACGAAATCATGGCGTGTCATGGACGATTTACGAAGAAGACTCAAGACGAAAGACAAGAGTTACTCGCATGCACCTAACAAGAGAGAAACAGAGCCCACAACATAAAGCCGTACCTGGTTCCCACAAATACAAGAACAGTAACAACCGTGAACTTATACTACCAAATGGATACATTACTACGGATGATGCATCATCAAGGATAGACAACAAGTATGATCATCCTAAGTCACAGAGGACATAATTGACAAGGACTAACAATTACATCAAGAGGAACATAAATTTTCCGGAAGGGAAATCCCTTCAACGAAGAAATATTCCTACCCCTCTTCATCGATTATTCTCGGAAGGGAAATCAGCGGGAAATATTTTCATTTTTAGCTTTCGATGTTTGTAGGTTCTGATCTGTTCAGATTCTTCGGATACGATTCTCTCCTTTGTGAATATAAAATATATACTGTCTACATTTTGTACAGAAGGATTAAAATTTAATTTGTCTCTTTGAAATACAAGTTTGTTGTAATCTGGAAGGCATTTTAAAGGTCAAACCGAACGTCTTTTCAGCACACGCAGGATCATTCATCTCTTCCTTCATTCATTGTTTTGTTACATGAGCAACTGGTCTTTTTCTCTGCCTTATGCAGTTCCATCTTTTCAACGATCTATATAGTTTTTGATTGAACCATACAGTTTCTTTACGTTTTGTACAAATACGTAGAGAATAAATATAAAATCTTCTTCGGAAGTTTTTTATACAGGATCATGAACTCGATTATACATCTTATTGTGAGCTGCTCTGCAGAAATTATATTCAATTCGTTTGCAAAGAAATGTTTCTTCCTAGTTTAAACATACAATGTACTTTTCTGCAGGGTGGAGGTCTTATGAAACAAATAACTATACTTGTTTTAAAGATTGAATTGCATAAAAAGAAAGGTTGCATCAATCGCAGATACTAAATTCGAGCACATGATTTCAACATATGTTACCAACACTGAAGATTATGGACAGACAGGAGACTATTTGGCTCTTTCTGAAAGGATAGTTTTTCCGGTACATGGTATACATTTTTGGCCAAAGGAAGGAATACATTATCTCTTTCTCTCCCTCTTTCTCTTTATATATATGTTGGTGTATATATACATAGAAAGATAGTGTGAGAGAGAGACGAATATGTATATATATATTTTTTTATATATATACATTTGTATAGATTCATAGATATAGATGTAATACGTGTTAGAAAGTATAGTGGACAAAAGTGCACAGGATACATTTTAACCTTGAGCGTTAATCTTTCCAATATTAGGAACACAAAATTTAGTCTTACTCATATAAACGTGAATATTAATCGTACCTCGTTATGAATTAATTATTAAGACGCGTAGTGCTGCTATTACAATATACTAATTCGTGTTCTTGTGTGATATTCAGGATTTGAAGGATTATATGAGACAAGCTGGCGAAGTCACATATGCAGATGCACACAAACAGCGCAGGAACGAAGGGTGAGTCTTTTAATCCCAGAAACTAGTAATATGTAAGGACTTTTTCGATTTCAAGCTTCAATTAATTTTGTATAATTTAATGTTTACAGGGTTGTAGAATTCGCAACATACTCCGATTTGAAAAATGCTATTGACAAATTGGACAATACAGAACTAAACGGACGTAGGATCAGGCTTATTGAGGACAAGAGACGTGGTCGCCGTTCAAGATCCTCCAGTTCAAGGTCAAGATCAAGGTCTCGATCTCGATCTCGCCGCCGATCTCGCTCCCGCTCAAGGTATTATCGTCGTTCTCGAACCCGATCAAGGTACTGTCGGGGGCGACAATGTCTCCATCATTTTTTATTTTCCCACGGATCATTAGAGAATCCGGAAATGTCGGGTCAGGACGGGTTCTAGAAAATTTAGGGATTCCTGAATACGTTGAGATCCTCGATGATGTCCGAGATTCCCGAAAACGTTGAAGCCCGAAACTTTCGAGAATCCGTTTCAAAGACCGGGTTTTTTCATACACCTATAGTAATTGTATTTACAGCATAATCTTGATTTCTAATTTTAGCCACTGTAAAATCACTCTAAATTATTTGAATTTCCATCAGTTATTTTACTCTTTGATCATGTGTATTAGATGTATTCAGTTCATCTTATATGCATGGCACAAGAGATTCACTTAGAGCAACTTGGAAAGTTGAATCCTCTTAATTGCTCGTAGAAATTTTGTTAACGAATAACTTTTCAGTTTATTACAATACGATCTTTCTGTCTTTTACCAGGAGTCGCCGCAGTTCCCGTAGCCGTAGCCGTAGCGGACGCAGTAGCCGTTCTAAATCAAGGGCACATACTAAATCCAAGTCAAAATCCAAATCAAAATCGCCCGAACATAGCCGCTCACGATCTAAATCCAAGTAAGTATTATTCGATAACTCGGTGTCTCGTCACTTTTTAGTTTTTTAATCAGTGAATGAGCTTAAAGTGTATTATTTATTTGCTTTATTTCTTGCGCAATTATCAATAATCGAATTTCGTTGCGAATTGTCTCTACGTTATCGCACAACTTCACTCTCCCATCCGTTGGCATTGTGTTTGGGCTGGTTTCTCCGAAAACCTCTCATAGCTTTTTTTAACGTTTACACGAAAAATAATTGTTATCACTCATTTCGAAAGCGACAAAAAAAGAAATAATTTTTTATATTATTTGCTTCTATTCTCCTTTCACCCCTCTTCATTTGAACTATAATTTTGCAGATCAAGAGACCGCTCAAAGTCGAAATCTAAGTCAAAGTCCAAATCCAGATCTCGTTCTAGGTCCAAGGCTGAGAGGTCAAAGTCCAGGTCGCAGTCCAAATCCAAAGCCAAGTCTCCCTCGAAGTGAGTTCAGTCGATATATAATAATTCGCGCAAGAAAAGCAAATTCATAAGTCCCATATCATTAATATACAGATCTTCTTCCAGAGATAGATCTAGTCGCGAAAGATCGAGGGGTGACAGATCGAGATCCCGATCCGGCAGCAAGCATAGCAAAAGCCGCAGCCGTTCACGATCACCGATGAATGGTGATAAATCGCCTGAAAGTAATAAACTGGTGAAAGCCGATTAGAAGGAGAGTGTGAAGAAGAAAACAATGTCTTGTGAGCAGGAGGAAATGAGAGTTTCGGAGGAGAACTTTCCTCTTTCCGTTTCCTTTTTTCTATAATTATAAAAAAAACAAAAAGAAAAAAATATTCAAAAAGCCAATTTTTCATGCCTTTGTTTTTAAGACACGTCGATTAGTTTTTTAACATTATTATTACTTAAGAGGACGGGCGAATAAAATTTTAATGGGAAAGTATTTGTAAAATTTAAGACAAGGAACTATATAATTAACGCTCATCGGCTTAATTAATCACCTGACGACCTTGTATATGATTTACTTAATGGAACCAATCTTGTGCATTGGTTTCATACGATTTCATTTGTGTACTATATTTGGAGAGACAGAAAATTCGCATTTAGAGATGTAAGATGTCTTCATACGTACCTTACACGGACTCTACACATTTTTCGATGTATCGCCGTATATCAAGGAATTCCCTGTAATGGCTTTTTGTATATATTCCTAACAGTCACATTACGATAAGAGAAGTATGTAATGTGCATTAAATTTAGTGGTAAGAGGTATGTTATCAATAAAATTTCACGCCAAGCCTACTATTCGTCTTATTTTTTCATCAATATTGTACTTAATTGTTAAAGCAAGGCACAAAAGTGAACGAAGTGTTCATCGACGAGATAATACGAAGTCGACATTCAGTCGACTAGCTTCAATTTTTCTCGTTACTTATTTCATTTTATTAGTCTGTCAAACGGAGACACTGTTCTAATTAAGAATACGCGCAGCTTCCTTGCCAGTTCAACGATCCAACAGATGTTTGATGTCTCCTAAAAAGAGTTACCTTGAAATCATTGACAATCATTTTACTGGCAATATTCTATATTATCAACGCTGCTTCATCATCGTCGGCATTCCACGACGCTATTTATTCACTGATATGTAGATACATTGACGCAAAACAACGTTGATGAAGCAAGGTAACGTTGGTGATTTCAAGGTGATCCTCGTGAACAGGCTGAAACCCAGCCGGTGGCGTTCGAATGTCTGGACACAGGGACTCAACGTGTCAAAAGCATGAACTCCCAAAATCTTTACAAGGGACAGAGGATGCCGAGATTGTGTGGGGTATGATAACCGAGAGATTTCCAAATGCTGCACCGCTTTTGTGCGAAATGGAGGCGGTCATCGACCGTGCGGAGGATCTTCTTCAACAGCTGAAGACACCTTGTCGTGAAATCGGTAGAACGACACGAACGCATTTCTTCGTTATAAAATCTGTAGCTGTGGAGAGAAATTAAAAAGGCAAATTGATTCTTTAGAGACGTCGACCTCTTTTTGTACGCAAGATTCGGAAGAATCTACCCTTATGATTTCCGCTAGAGGATCACTGACTACCGAGAACGAAGTATGTAGAACATAATTCATCGTTAAAATTAAATGTGCAATTCAACGTGGAATCGCTACAGATTCTGGAAGAGGTTGAAATGACAAGTAGAACCGTAGGAGTCTCGGAAACGACTATCTACGAACAAGAAAGCGATACGAACGAACAGAATAAAGGATTGCTTTCTAAAGAACAGGTGACTGAGAATCTGTTCAGTGATTCGACTGTGATACATCCTCCTGTCATGAAGAAATATTCGAGCGATGAATCCGCCTCTATAAACGTTGAAACAATGAGTACGCACAGCTCTTATTTTAACGGAATTGAAATGATGTTTCGTAATAATTCAGTAGTAATCCATTCAGATATCGATGAAACGGCAAAGGAAGCGCGCAGCTTAGAGGGATGGGGTAAAATAGTGGACGATGCAATGCAAGGGATCATTGGTATTAGAAACAAATTAAAATCAATTCGTTTAATCGAAGATCGGTTTATATTTTAATTGTTACTTCAAAAGGGGATCAGCATATTAAGAAACCAGAGAAATCAATTGTGAAACATGTACCTCATGAAGAAACTAAAACTAGAAGGCATAAAGCAAATGGTAATTTATATTCACTTTCAATGCAGTACAAATGTTTAACATTAAATTATGAATTTCGCAAAGAGTCGTGTATTATTCTGCATCGTCAAGAATCCTCAGATATCGGTGATTCCGAGGTGGAGAACGATTTCGATGGAAACGCGAGGAGCCACAAATTAATCGAGATGAAGCAGGAACCCGTGCATCTTTCTTTTCAAGTAAAATTCTTTTTATTTTATATATTTGTAGCTCGATACAAAATAGTTACACTGTACAATTTATTCGTCGATTTAAAATTAATTGAAGGGTAGTGGTGATAAGAGCGCACCGAGAAAAGAAACGCCGTTGTGCATTCTAGAGGCATATGCAAATCGTTGCAATGTATCGGTCGAATATGAAAATATAACGGATGGTCCGCATCGTCACAAATCTAACGTGTACGTGATACGTGGAAATCTTGCAGGATTCGCTGGTAATGTCTTGCGTAAACATTTAATGAAATCATGCGGTGTCGTAAACTTTAAAACTCATTTCGCGATGTTTTCTATCCCGTACATACGTTCTAAATATTTTTTCAAAGTAAAGGATTACAACTGATGACTAGTAAAAATATTTCGTTGTCGATGTCTTGTAACTAAAAATTACAGTAACGTGCCGAGGTTTAACCGAAGAGTCGACTAAGAACGATTTAGCCGCGAAGATTCTGCAAATGATCGCGAACCGACAGATGAAGGACGAGAAACTCGGTCAGCTCGCGGAACTTACGAGGGACGAGTACGTAGCATGAAAAACTAATTGACTAGTCGATTTTTATTCCTGAACTATGAAAATTATGATTTCATCCGTAAGAATGATGAAGATAATTAATTTTGACACGGACGACCTGAAAGACACCGCTCAAAAGAAGCTGTATCAACTCTGTCTCGAAAAAGAGCAACAAGTTCCAAAATACTACATATCAAAACTGAAGACTTATCAGGGTTTTACTTATAATGCTACTTGCTACGCATTAGGCTACTCTACCGAAGGTTTATATAACAATTCTATTCTCCTATTTATCTTTAATTTAACTAAAATATTAGCAATTAATTCTTAATTAAATTTCATGTAATTGGCGATTTTCGTTACATTGGGCGCGTTGTACTTCGGCGACCACTGCTTGTACGGTGACGTTCCTCTGACCAACAGTGGTGTCCAAAATACAATGAGCACAATGCAACGATAACTGCTAGGAGACATGTTAACATTTAAAGTACGTTACCTCTGAGAACAACTGGCAGTAGGCAGTTTGCCTACCATCAGGTGCAATTTTTAGTCGATTAAAACTAAAAGATGGCACATCACCCCTTAAAATTTGTCTCACTGGTAGCCGAATACCCTGCGTTGTTTTCTCTGCATTCCGTAGGATGTGGTGTGAGAGAGTGCGTAGCCAAGAAAGCCGCTGCTGATGAATTGTACCAAAAATACTGCGAGGGTCAGAAGCCGACGCTCAAAGTACGTATTGATAATGCCTTTATCGACTCAGTTTAAAAAATCGTTCTTATGGTATTTTGGTGACGATCCAAGGCAATTTGCCCGTTTTCTTGAAGCACCAATAATCGTAGAGTAATTTTCCAATGATGAAAAATATCAGTAATGCTAGGATAATATTTAAAACGTCCAAAGGATGGATCAAAATATTTTCCTCCGGCGATACGCAAATCTCGGTACGTTTTAAATCTCTTATCTATAAAGAAATTTCAATTGTACGGAAATAATTTCATTTCGAAGATCATCGAATACTTACGATTTTACCAGAGTTCTCATCTCCGTTATTAAGCGAACACTTAACATCGTTAGTGTCTTTTACTATGTTCGTATATCTAATGATTAAATCCTGGAATAATTATATCGGTTTTATATCGTTTTTTAAACTCAGTCAACATTATCTAATATATATTTCACTGAAACATATTACCTGAAAACCTGGAGTAAAGAAACAGTCGCACTGCCACGGGTTCTTGCCAAGAAACAAACTCACAGCGTTTTGATTGTGTTGTAACGCGTTTTGTAGAGCGTACGTGGGCAACTGTAATAGCGACAGAAAATACTTATCTCCCATTAATCTCTTAAACCGTAATTAAAATTTAATCGAATGCAAATCTCTTGATTATTTATGTTCCAGTAATATGTTCTCAAGAACATTATACAAACATCGTTTAATTTGTTTCCACGAAGATCAAGTACACGAAAACGGTCCACCCAGCTAGATCCCTCTAATTTAACGATCGATCTTATCATATTATTGTCCAGATACAGGTCTATCACACCTTCGTAAACAGGATTTGTCGTAAGTGGCGTCACATCTGTTATCTGTAATTAAAATTCCTTCTCCTATTTCTAAAATATAAAATCCTTTCGAAAATGAACATATTTTTTAAGAGTTCAAACTTTATTTCTGTTCATTTTGTTCAATGTTAAATTTTATCTACGATCGCGACCTGGTTGCCAGACAAGCGAAGAGTGGTGGTGTTCGCAGGCAAGAAGTTCGGCATCTCCGTTAAACCACGATGGCTACAGTTCACCGAAGTAAAAGCCGTCAATTGCTTTTGGATATGCTTCCCTCCGTTACCAAGCACATACACTAATTCGCAGTCACACACAGTCTTTCTACATTCGTCTTTCAACGTCTAAAATAAGAAAAATCGTCGAGTTCGATAGATCCTATACAGATTTATATTGTGAATAAAATATGGTACTGTGTAATTGTCAGTCCGTTACATTAATTATTTCCACAACTGGAATCAACGGTCTGCCATCGTACGGCACCGTGCAACGCAGATGCTCTTTGTCCGTGATTTTGTGGCTTAAAGAACCTTTTCCTTGATCCAGTATCCACTTCGTATTCTCGGAACATTTTAAAGGATTACCTTATATATAAATACATACATTATTTGAAACTCTATTGTATTTGAAGATCCTATCTACAAGCAAGTGGCAAATATTTTGTGTTTTACCAGAAAGGTAAACGTGATGCAACGAGTGTATGTTAAATGTTTCAACGTCAATTTCTTGAAGGCTATTGTTCCTAACGTCGAGAATCTTTAAGTTTAAAAGATCGTCAAACGCGCCTCTTGGTAATTCTTTCAGTTCAGTTTCTATTATTTCAAGTTTCTAAAAAAAAAATAATTTTTGAAGCTATCCTAAAGTGTGCATTTAATAGCGAAAAGAAATGAAGAGTTCACAGCAAGGAACCGTCAACTCGAATTTCAGTTGCCTATCTAAGGGAGCTCTTCGAATATAATCGTACCTCGATCGAACGAGACTTATTTGAAAAGGTTGAAACCAATCTGGTTAAATTGCTCTTCTCAATTATCAGCTTTTTCAAGGATGAAAATCCTTGCAAAACGTCTTGAGGATCGAAGGTCTCTGCAGGCCAATAACAGAGCACCAGAGTTCGCACGTATTCACCTCTGAATAATAATTTTTAAATGCTTTTTTCCGTTCGCGAAGCAGCTATTGAAACACTTATTACTACTTATTAGTAAGCAATACAGCAATGGTGATAATTACTCGGACTTCCATTTATCCTCTAGACCGTGAAAACAAACCAAACGTTGATCGTGTTCCTTCAAGTCGCACGTCCTGCTAGTATTTGACTTTGCCTGACGCAAATCGCAATTTTCTTCGGTCGAGTTCGCCGACGAAAATCGTAGATGCAACCAAATGAATGTTATCCTGATCGCGAAACGAATCAAATTTTATTGTTTTAGGAACATATTTGCGATTTCGCATAAGAATCTGCGATCTGCTCATGAGTTTTTATTATTGAAATAGCAGCATGGTATTATCTAATCTACGGCTCCCTAATTCTCTGACAAACACGGAAGCAGGTGAAACTTCTTATGACGCTACAGTTTTTCAACTTTCGTAAATAGTAATGATCTTCAACTACTTATCTAATCTCTACTATTTTAGCTTCTTTGCAATTCAGAAAACACTTGAAATTTAAGGATGTATTGGCTATACAGTCAAGGGTACCTGTATAAAAAGCTTTTCGCCAGCGTCGATAATTAATTGAATATTTCCTTCTATACTTTTTAGCACGTAGCTATTTATTATTAGCATTATTTTTCCGACGTCTGATTTCTTCTTAATTATAGGAAATGCGTTTTTCTAAGGTACATAAACTTTTGGGATTGACTGTATAGCTAATACATCCTTAAATTCTTATTTTTCTCCTTTGAATTCTGTACAATTAGTTCAAGCACGAATGTAAAATTTATTTGATCAATTTTGTGTTTAGAGCACCGTGTCGTTACCGGAAAAAAAGGAATTAGAATGATGAAGTATGGATCGCAAGAGTCATTTGAAGCAGAATCTCAAAAAGGAATAAAAAAGAGAACAATTTACTCACAGAAGAAGGTAACGTGATATTTTCCACATATTAAACAATCTTTTTTCAAATGAGAATCATTTAAATGAGAAAAACTGAGAAGAACGAAAAAGCGATCTTTTCATCAGTGTTCGAAATCTCTTTTAATAGCCCCAGTACTTAGATAAGAAATAGATTGAACGTATTCGAATGATGCGCGATTGTCAACTGAGGGCTGACAATGCTAATGAAAAGATCGAAACTGATCCACTACTGTCAGATGAATAACTAACATAAGACGATTCGAGGATTTAACTAGAAGAGAACATATTGCAAGATGCGAGCGCAGACGCAGATATTCGATTTACATAGTGCGTTAAATGCATATTGCGATAATTAGATGTTTTAAGATAAGGAAAAAACAATTAGTAATCATTAACACGACCATATCACGTACCGTTGTGGTGTTGAACATTGCTTTATTTAATATACATTAGAATTTCAAATCAATTTATTTATGGAAGCAGAGTACATAATAAAATCATCTATTTATAAACTTCGCTTCAATCGATTGTCCTTATTTTATATAATTTTTATAAAATACATAAACTACGGCTACTGTATGTATAGGATAATATATAAACTTGTTATTACCCCAACAGAACTCAATATTTACAATATTACAGAACAGCAAAGTTGAAATATTGTGATCTTGCAGTACAATATTTTTGCCACGTTGCTGCAATATTGAGTACTGTTGGAATACGTACCGTAAACCACTACGTGTTTTTAATATAGTAGGCGAAGCAGTAATAAAAGTCATAAAATCGAGTTCAAATATCATTATACGAATTATTTTATATATTCTATCTAATTGTGTCATCGTGTTCGTGATTTGAAATCTGAATCTGAAGCTCAGTTCAGAGTAGATAGTTCACCACGCTTTCCATCTAGGAAAATTGTATGTGGGTCGGAAACGTGGTCGGGAATCGTTTTGGGTAGCCGTACAGAACGTATAGAATAGAGTTCAACGGAATACAGATACAGACACGAAATGATTCATTTTAACCGAACGTTGTTGTTGAACGTCGGACGTTGGACGTTTGAATTTTCACTTTTTCCAAAAATAAACCTTGCATTTTATTAATCAGACCACGGGAATATAACAAAGCTTAAAAGCAAGGCTTTCACGTGACTATAACGTCTATCGTCAAAGATTTAATTACTTTGAGTGGCTTCCAATTAAATACATTGTTAAAACGTGACCTGTTGCACACTTTATTAAGTTCTTAAAGTAAACTATGCAAAAGGATACATCACCGTCGTCTTCAGACATGGCTAATCACGCTGAAGATGATGATATGGTATACATAGGTGATGTGGAAGAAGTGATTGATAATTTTGATGGGGAAGAGATTAAAGAAGAAAATGTAATGGAAATGGATACACCAGAATTAGGAGACTCAGTGTTTGTGTTCACTACTCACAAACTAGGTGGAGATAATTTCATTTTATATTTTGATTGAAGTGCAGCATGAGAATTAATATTTGGCATTGAAATTTTAGGTTCTGTCTTCTGCGGATCTTTAACTAAAAATGGAAAACTAGCTACCACTGGAGGGGAAGAAGACAAAGCTTACGTTTGGGATACGTCGACAGGAGAGATTGTTTTAGATTGTGTGGGTCACAAAGACAGTATCATTTATTCGGCATTTAATCATGACGAGTCGTTGGTGGCTACTGGAGACATGAGTGGTATGATACAAGTTTGGAGACTGTCAAATAAATCCAAGATTTGGGATTACAACATGGGTGATGCTACCGTTGGTTCATTGTTTGTAATTGGGTCATAATGTTACAAATTTCAGCAAACTGAATACATGTTTCATACTTGCAGTGGATGATGTGGCATCCAGGGACAAATGTTTTATTAGCGGGATCTGTTGATGGAGAAGTATATATGTGGAAAATACCTGATGGGGATTGCAAAATTCTACAGGGATACGGTTGTAGGGCAGAGACTGGCGCAATATTTCCAGATGGTATTTGTTATTGCTTTACATTATACTGCGATTTAAGACATAACGATGTAATTGAATGAAATGTTTTAGGAAAACGTATTGCAGTAGGCTACGAGGATGGAATTATTAAAATATATGATTTAAAGACAAATACTGTGTTATCAACCATATCTTCTGCATTGAGCCATTCTTCCACTATAACTACCATTGATTGTCATCCAGATAATAATATAGTACTTTCTGCAGCTGTAGATGGAAAGACCATTATCAGTACATCAAAAACGGGAAAGGTAATGAAATTAATTGTAATTGATTCTATATCGAGATAGTCAGTGTAATATTATTTAAAATTCTTAGATAATTTCAGTTCTGCAAAATCTTAAAAATGTTGAGCAAAATAATGTTATGGACAACGATGAAGAGGCAGAAAATGACGAAGGCAATTGCGACAGCAATTGGGTAGAAACAGCGGCGTTCTGTAAAGATCCTGCATTTCAAGTTGCTGCGACTGGTACAGTTAACGGAGAGATTTTTATCTGGGACATTGCGAAACAAGTATTACTACTTTCCTTCTTGAGTGCAACTTTGGAATTTCAGACCAGGGTAACTTTCATTATTGTTATTAGATACTCAGACAAAAAATAGCACAAGAAAGTGGAATATCTAAACTCGTATGGAAAGGAAACACGAGTATATTATTTTCGGCGGGATTAGATGGTATTCTGAGGTGTTTCGATGGAAAAAATGGTGAATGTTTACGTTCATTCACAGGACACGTGGCAGACATTCTTGACTTATCCATCTCTGAGTAAGTTCAAAAGACTATCTGTGTATATTATTTTTATATTTTATTAAAAGAATACATCGATGTTTTTACAGAAATGGAGAAAAAGCGTTAACAACATCTGACGACTCTACAGTTAGAATTTTTGATATT